AGCCTAATTTTAGTTTTTCTCTCTCTCTTCTTCTTTTCTCTCTTTCCCACTCTCTCTTTCTCTCTCTCTCTCTCTCTCTCTCTCTCTCTTTCTCTCTTTCTCTCTCTTACTTTAACTCTTATTTATTTTTCCTTGAAAAAACAAAAATAAACATTTTTTTTTAGAAAAATTTTTTTTCAGCATTCTCGCTTTATTTACTTCTTTCGTTATTATTATTATTATTATTATTAGTAGTAGTAGTAGTAGTAGCAGCAGCAACAGCAGTAGAAGTAGTAGTAGTAGCAGCAGTAGCAGCAGTAGCAGCAGTAGCAGTAGTAGCAGCAGTAGCAGCAGTAGTAGCGCTAATGTAGTTATGATTGTTTCTAGCTTAAACCAGAAGTAGTTGCTAGTTGCAGTACTCTTAAGTATTTCTGTCAGATAATGTTTCTTGTAATTATTTATTAATATTATTTATTATTATTATTAATCATTAATATTATTATTATTTATTATTATTATTAAGTATTAATTATTATTAATTATTATTAATTATTTATTAATAATAATAATATTATTATTATTATTGTTTATTATTATTTATTATTTATTGTTAATTATTTATTATTATTATTTATTGTTATTATTAATTATTATTATTTATTATTAATGTGGAGCTCTCAGCGATATAGGCGTTAGGATACGAAAGGCGCATGCATCATGCTCACATACAAACATACACACACAAATACAATACATATATATATATATATATATATATATATATATATATATATATAGAAAAAGAGAGAGAGAGAGAGAAGAGAGAGAGAGAGAGGACTGCAGGCACACGCACATGCACACGCGCGTACACCGGCACAAACAAAGAGACGCCATTTTTGTTTATTCGTCTCTCCGCTGTGTCGACAGTGGCGATGATGATGATGATGACGACGACGACGATGATGATGATGATGATGACGATGATGATGATGATTACTCTAAACTTACTAAACAGCAGATGAATTAATTAAGCCTGAAGATTAAATAAAAACATCAGACTGGTGATGAAGGCTCCGACTGATAAAGACGATGAAAAAGATACTATCACTGTTATCATACTCTCTGGTGGCTGGCGATATGGTGTAATGGTTAAGGTGCCTGGCGGTGACGTTGTAGAGACCGTGTTCGATTACATAGAGGGGATCTGCACGGACAATCACAATCACGGACAATCACGGACAATCACGTGCCTTTCAACACACCCACCATGTTTGTGTAACTCCCAGCTGTTTTTGAAACTGTAGCCTTGTTATCTTTCGAAATTAAAATTATTTTTATTTTTCTTCATGATAACGACGAAGACGATGGTGGTCATAATGATCATGACCACCATCGTCATCCTCATCATGACCACACCTTCGTGGAACATTCAAGTATCTCTATCTATCCAACCATCTATTTTGTTCATCACTCTATCAACTCTTACGCTACTACTACTACTTCTGCTACTACTACTACTACTTCTGCTACTACTACTACTACTACTGCTACTACTACTACTGCTAATAATAATAATAATACGCGAACAACTTCTTTAAAAACATCAACCACTACTACAACTACTACAACTACTACTACTGCAACTACTACAACAACAACCACTACTACTACTACTACTACTACTACAACAATTACTACTACTACTGCTACAACAACTACTACAGCTTCTACTACTACTATTTCTACCATCATCATCATCATCATCACCACCACCACCGCCATCATCGTCATCAACGCCTTCGTCGTCACGTGATCCGTCTTATTGTGACGTCGGAAGAGCGAGAACGATTGGTCTTGCGAACTTGTATGTATATGTGTATGTATGTATGTATGTATGTATGTATGTATGTATGTATGTATGTATGTATGTATGTATGTATGTATGTATGTATGTATGTATGTGTGTATGTATGCAATATTATTATTATTATTCATTGCATTAATACAGCGTCAGTTTGAAAAACAATCTTTACAGGTGCTTCAAAATATAAAATGTTATTAAGGGCTGGACAGATGGGTTCTCAGCTGTCTCTTAAACTGACTAAGAGTAAAATCAGCACTGCACAAAGTGTTTCGAAGGCTATTCTACAATCGTATTCCAACGAAAGCAAGCCTTCGAGACCAATTGTGAGGTACAAACACAAAAAATTGAAAAAACAGACCTCAATTCATATTTTGACAACTTTGTTTTATCATTAGTAGACAAATCGATCATATTTTGTGGTGCAACATTATTCAAAGTCTTATAAACTAATACACGTATTTAAAAAACCAATCCTCTTGTCAACATGCAGCCAATGCAATGGCCCCAGTATTGGGCTCACAGGATGAAATCTACTACCTTGAAACCTACTACCTTCTTGTTTTCCTAATCAAACGAAGCTGAAATGTGCACGATTTAAACAGAGATTTAGTTTGTTGAATCCAGAATAAAACCAAGCACAGTCGCCGAACTGCCAAACTTTATAACATTATCATTAATTTCAATGGATTTATCAGTTATTCTGGACAACTTTTGCCAGGTGCCTATAGGTAAAATTTGTGTTTTAGCTTGGTTCTTCTGATTACCAATTTGTGCCATTCAAACTTCTAAGTCAGACAACCCTAACCCTAACCCGATCCAAACATTTCTGGCACTGTGCTAGCTACTATATGAATATCATCTGCATAAGCCAAACCCTTAAAATCGTATCTGTCAACAATTTCAAACACACCCCTAACCCTAACCCTTTCAGACACTCCATGTATGTATGTTCGTATGAATCTATATGCTTATTTATTTACATCTCGTATTCATTTCTTCATTCTATCAAGATTTTAATCTGTCTCTCTCTTTCTCTTTTTTTTTCTCTCTCTCTCTCAATTTTTTTATTTTGATGTTTTCACATCGTTCGTTCTATCATCTCTGCTTTATTTCATCGTTCGTTTCTCTTTTCGTTCCTCTCTTTCTTTCGTTGTCTCTCTCTCTCTCCCTCTCTTATTCGCATTCTCACTCTCTTACTTTCTGACTTTGGCTATCTTTCATTCTCCCCTCTCTTTCTCTCTCTCTCTTTTTCTCTCTCCTCTCCCTTGTTTACATCCATCCCTTCAACAATTGCTAGTAAATAAAAAAAATTGAATTGATATATTTATTGCTCCAAAGTTTCTTGGTATTTTTAGGCGCCAAACAAACTTGCATACAAACACAAAAGTGCACACACACATACATACATACATACACACCTACGAACAAACAAATAATACATAAATACACACATATAAACATACACACATACAAACATACATACAAACATACATACAAACATACATACAAACATACATACATACATAAAAACAAAGTCACACACACAC